AGCAAAGTTAACCTGCCAGAGGCTCAGGTTCTGCAAACAAGCAAAGTTAACCTGCCGGAGGCTCAGGTTCTGCAAACAAGCAAAGTTAACCTGCCAGAGGCTCAGGTTCTGCAAACAAGCAAGAGTTCTCCCAGTCCACCAGTCATCCCTATGGCTGCAGAAGTGGTGGCAGAGAAAAAAACTTCTAGTCCAGCTGCTAAAGTCAGCATTTCTATTACTGAAGCTGTTCAGAAGAAGGACAACTTTCCTTCAAAGGAAGACAGTTCAGTGGAGGTGAAGTCCTGTGTTACTCAAAGTCAGAGTGTTAAAAGTGCCCTAACATACTCTAAGCTTTCTACTAACCAAAGCACTCCTGAAAAACCTCTGAACAAAGAGAAGCACGTACAAAAGGAGTTGCCTGGCAGACAGCCAGCAGCCCAGAGAAATTGTGAGCCTATCTCTGCAAAGGTGGAGGTGATCAGGGAGTCAACTTTGAAGGTATCTGTCTCAGATATCCTGACAACAAACTACTCCAAAGGCAGTGAAAAGAATTCTGCTGATCTTGCCATTCCACCTCAAATGCAAGGGAATTTGCAGGCAGCTGGTCCAAGGGCACACCCTAAGGATGGCAGAGATTCAGTAAAACAGCTAAGCAAGGAAGATGCTGTTGTTGCTAGCAGTTTTCTGGAAAGGGACATAACCAAGCAGAAAGTTCTCAGTGAGTCTAAGAAAATTATTGTAGAGTCAAAGAGTGAAAATCTATCCAAACCCTCAGTAGAATGTGATCCTAGAACTGAGAAGACTGCATTGGTGTCCTCTGTGCAGAAGGATAAAACCAAAGATTTGGGAAAGAAAGATCAGAAACAGGTCCCTGACATAAGGCTTCCAGCCACTGAGAGAGAGCAGTCCAGCCAAGTTCCTCAGCAGCAACCTAGTGCTCCAGTGTCCCCTGCTGTGAGAGATGCTGTAAGCAAACGCTGTGCTGTAGATGTTCACACAGATATTCAAGATCACATGAAGCCTCCTACCACTGGTGTGGAAAGCAGTACTAATAAACTCAGGCCCGTCTCTGATATGAGTTCCTCTAAGTCTAAGCACTTGGATAAACAGACATTTTCACAGAAACCATGCACTCCAAACACAAAAGAAAAAGAAACAATTGTTCAGATGTCTGCGAGCTCCCGGAAGGATGGTAAACATGCTGGTAAAAATGTGCCAGATTCCTCTTTTTTTGTATTGGGTTCTTTAAGAAAAATGAACAGTGAGCATACTAAATTTGAAAGGCCTGTGATTTCAGAGCATGGACTTGTATCCACTCTTCAAGTGAGCAGTATCACTCCTGATACAAAACCCAAATCATCTACTGTTGACTCAGGACCAACAGGCCCTGAGATTTCTAAGCAAATGCAAAAGCAAGAGCCAGCAGGCTTTGGGGATTCTGCTGATCAAAAGCTGTTTCACTTCAGCGAGAAACAAACTGTTTCTCCAAAGTTTTCCACTGTGAAAGACTGTCTCTTGCTGAACAAACAGGCAGACAGAAGCCTTAATAATCAGACAGCCTCTCCAGATAAAAGACCTGAAGGAAAAATATGCACCGATGCACTTTACGTTCAACATGACAATGGGAAAATGGAGCCTACCCTTTGCCTCACAAACTGTGATGTTAGAGCAAAAGGATCAGAAAAATCAACCTCAACTAGCAAATGCTCTCCAGATTCAAAAGGGAAGGGACAGATCAATCAAAAACAGCCTGAGAATGCAAGCAAACAAATTGCAATAAAACATATGCCAGCTGCCAGTGGGCAGAGTTCTTACCATGTGGCTTCTGTACCAGGAAAGCCACCGGCTTGTTCAGCCAATTTCTCTGAATGTAGACAAGAAGTATCTGCTTTGTCTTTGGCAAAGAGTGATGAATCTTCAGCAAAAATTAAAGTAGGCTCACTTGAGCTTCCTTCATTCAACTACAAGGAACAAGTTAAGAAAAGCACCTCTTCCACAGGAAATTCTAAGACAGAAATCACTAAAAGTGTGTCAATGATAACCTTGCACAGTGCTGCTGTTGTAGAAGCCCACCACTCTGCTTCAAACCTTGGAGGGAAACCTGGAAGTCAAGAAAAGTCTTCTGTTAATACTGTGGATGTAAAAGGAAAAGATGCTGCTCAGGCTCAGCAGTCTGCTTCAAGAAAACAAAATGTTGGTAAAGATTTAACTAGGTCAGTAACCACACCTGATCGTCCAAACGCACTTTCTAATGATAAAGACTCAGTCCGGCAGCGTCGAGGGAAAGAAGCTTTACGAAGCAACCCTTACAAAAAATTCTGTTGACTCTAATATGTGGCAAATAAAAATTCAACACTAACAGAAACAAAAACAATATATTTTGACTGTCTTGAAACCAGCACTGTGTAGTGTCTTTATGTGGCAAAGCTTTCATGTCACTGAAGAGGATGGGGATATATAGAGAAAGGACTTTTTACAAAATGCCTTCTCGATTGTAACCGGTAAAACTGTTACCATATAGTATTTGTACAAATATTCATTTACAGCTGGAAGCTGTAGAAGAAATAATTTCCTCTGTAAATACCTAGCATTGTGTTTGGGGATTGAATGTAGCATATATATGTTGCTGCTGATTGCATTGTTTACTCTCCCCTTTTTAAAAAATAGTTGCTTTGCCATTTATTTGCCATAAATATGAAAGTAAATTACTAAAAATGAGACATGGCACAGACATGCACAAGCGTTGTCTGACAGGAGGGCAAAAATCTACTTTACTTACAAAAAAAAGTCCTAGCTAGAGTAAAAAATGGAAGGAAGAAATAAGTATGGTAACTTACCGTGAGTTTTTACATGTATTTTTAGTAATCACATTTGGATAGTACTATCTGGCTACCTGCTTCGCCACACCTAACACAAGATGAAACTGCATCTGCCAGTGGCACGAAGCCTGTCTTATAGAGTGGGGTGTGATTAAAGCGAAGGGAGGACTGCTTGGCTATCACAGAGTCTCTGGAAGACTCGTGTTCTCAGTTGGAATGGTAGTTGTGGTCTTTTCTGAGGGTCGCAGGATACACTCTGAGCAGATAAGGATGAGACTCTGAAGCACATGCTGTGTCCTTGGTTTCTGCTGCAATCCTCTCTTTGTTTCCGTGAGCTAGTTTTAAATTCGGGCCCTTACAGTTTGAGGCACAAGTTACAAGTACATGACTTCCAGGACTATTGTGTTCATCCCTAGTTTTTTTTAATTAATTTAGAGAATACGTTTTATCATAGCATATAGGTCTGCATAATTAGCTGTAGCTTTTTTTTCTATTTTATGGCTATTAAGGTAAAAAGGAAAGAAAAAAAAAAAGCAATTCCATTGTCATAAAAAATTTTAGGACATCAGATACATTTTAATGCATAGCTGGGGCCTTATGTTGTAGACTTTAACTTGCTTTTTTTTAGCAAGTAATTCTTGATCTCATGTTCATTTCTAAATGCATTGAGTAGCTCCATACATTTCATAACATAATCTTTTTATTTATATGCAAAAAAAAGTAAATGTAATTATAAAAGAAACATTGTGTAACAAATGAACCTGTTGGAGCTATTTGGTGCTAGACTGTGACTGTCCTTTTACTTTTGCTAAGCCTTATTTAAATTTTGTATACTGTGGAACATGTAGATTTTGATCATTTTAGTGTGGAGGTATTCAGTTTTGAAGGATGAAAGATAGAATTTGAAACATGTGCAAGAGCACTACAGAATATGCTTGTTGATGCGTGTTTTTAAGTGTTTGGGATCAACAGTGGGGGTTTGCTTATTTCTGTTCATGTAGCTAAACTAGAGCTAGGCCCCTAGCTGTTTCGTTGAGGCTTACAGATTGTCTTTCTGTCTCAAAAGCTAGAAACTTGTTCTTAAAAGCACAGTATAATCTTGACTTAGAGGTTTGTGTGACAACTGACAGTGTGCAGAATTCATTTCCTCCTGGGAGACGCTTTATTACACTAGTTAAGTTGGATTACAGCAGACTTGCTATGGAAAGACGAAATCACAAACTACAGCGTGATTTTTTTTTATGATGCACCAGAATATTCGTGCTGCCTTTTATGCATTCACAGAGGAGCTGGTTAGCAATGGGTAGTAATTTTGAGCAGCTTTGAAGAGAAAATGGTCTCAACATTTACAGTTCACCTGTGCTTTGGCAATTAATACAAACGAATGCTAATGCACTTCGATATAACATTTCTGTCTGGGAGGTATTTCCTAGTTTACAGTCTTCTGCATTTTTAAACTATCCTCTTGTTTCCTTTAAAGCACATCTAGTTATTTGTTTACAGTGTAACTTTATGTATATTTTGTATAGCTCATTATAACTTCTGACAAATAAGTTTGCATTTTGGAAGTGTAACAGTGCGTAAGCTTGTGTTTATGTAGTACTGTTTGTTGGTGCTTACCTATCAGTGAGCTGTTAGAGATCCTCCTACCTGTGTGCTGCTTGGGTCAGTCTTTTTGTGATTGTAGTTCTGGTGTGCTCCTTTGTAGACTTCCTGCTGTAGATTGCTCAGCTTCAAAAAAAGTAAAAAAAAAAAAAAAAAAGAAAAAAGAAAAAGAAAAAAAAGTGAAAGAGAGAGAGAAAACAAAGACTAAAAAAAAAAAAAAGAAAAAAAAAGTTAGGGTCTGTGCAATAAAGTGTTTGCAGTCTTATTTTCTCTGAGAAACTCCTTATGGATGTCATAATTGTTGTACATTGAACACAATTATTTATACTTATGCAGTTGCATAACATTGAAATAAAAATTCAGCATGAAACACTGTTTTGTTGGTACTTTCCCTTGAACTGTTTTCACTCCTGTAACTTTAACTTCAGGCACTTCCCTGTTGTCCTTGTGGGTGGATGGTCTTTTTTTTTTTTTCTGAGGCCAACTCAGTGCACTGCAAGCACATAAGCAAAGAAGACTTTGAGTACTTCAGCCTTTTTCTTATCTTTGATGGCAGTGTTGCCCTCTGTATTTAATAAAAGATGGAGATTCTCTTTGGCCCCCCTTTTGCTGTTAATGCATTAGTAAAAACATTTTTTTTTATCTTTTACAGTGGTGGCCAGATACTGTACTTCCACCTAATTTTCTCTCTGCATAACCTAGCAATATCCCTGTACTCTTCCCAGGTTGTCTGCCTCTTATTTCAAGGTGGTAAACGCTCTTTTTCCCCCGAGCCTTAGCGATAGCTCCCTGTTCAGCCAGTCTGGTCTTTCTGTCAGCCCATCTTACAACATATAGGGATGCATTTTTAAGATATCCTGCATCTTTAAGATATCCTTCTACAAGAATATCCAGCCTTTCTGACACCTTCTGCCTTCGAGACTATCTCCCAAGGAACTCCCCCAACCAACGTCCTAATCAGCCCAAAGTCTGCCCTGCAGAAGTCCAAAGTAGTGGGTTTACTCACCCATCTTACACACAAACACATTCACCGTTTCGCCTTTCCAGTCAGCTTCAAGTTCTAACTGACAAGTCCAGAAGTGAGGCTAACCCATGATGCTGGGTAGTATTTCAGAAACAGGCAAAGCTTAACTCCCCTCTTTCCAGCTGAGCGACGTAATCAGAAAGTGAATACCAGCTCAACATGTAGTTTTCTCTTTAAGTCACTGATATTTGCAGATCTGCAGTCCATTCCTGCAGTGTTTTTTTTAGCATCTATTCCAGGCTATGAACCACACCATGCTCTATTCACTCCACTATTTGTCTATTGCTTTCTTGAACCCAGAAATGCAGGAGGGAAATATCTGAAGCGGTAGGCCTCTCCTGAGGAGAGCCCAGGCTGGTATTCATGCTGGATTGTCAGCGCAATTATTGGTGTGACTTGTTTAACCAGTCCAATTTACAGAAGACAGGAAAAGCTGCCTTGAGTCCTGGGCTGCCTGGCTCTCCGTAGAGGCTGGGTTGTCCTCTGACAGCAGCCTGGTTTGGGTCAGTCTTTCAGGAAGTGCCTGCCTGTGGGGCTGGCAGCAAGTCAGCATTAGCGGGGAATGCCGTAAACAACACAGAGCTGTGAGAAGAGGCCTGCTGTTGCCCAGGATGTGCAAGTGTCCATGGGAAGATGTGTTTAAGATTTCAGAGGAATGCTTTTGGGACTGGAGCTGAAACTGAGTTTGTTGTTCCCAGTGCGAGTGTTCAAAGTGAGCTCCGCTTCCACCTCTCTGGGTGACCGCAGCATCTGGCCAAATGCAATTTGGAGCCTTGCTGTGGTCAAAGCGAGGCCACACATGGCTGTGCCTGGGGAGAGTTGTCAGGCCATGCCTGTGCACTGCCATGGGACGGACAGTAAAGCTAAGGAGTGCTAAAGGTAATGTTATGAGATAGGCTTAGTGAGCAGACATGGCAGCTGCTGCCGCTTGGCCAAACGCACGTACTTTTACAATCAGAATTTAAAGAGAAGCATGATACAGGACGGTAGGTCTGCCCTGCCAGAGTCATCTTGAGACTATGAATGTTGCTCCAGTCCACCACAGAAATTCGTGTTTTTTGTTTTAATTGAGCAACATACAGTACTGCCAACAAAAAACGCTGTTCTTCAAGTGCATCTGATTGGGAGTGAGAAGGGTGAGAGACCTGTTGTTCTATTGGGGGTGATGTGAATTCTTTTATATATTTTTGTTATTATTTTCAAGAGAACTATGCTTTGTTCTTCAGCTCTTGGATCTCTCTTCTGTGGGTGCATTAGCCCTGTTAGCTGTGACAGCAGTGCTAGCATGCGAGATGAACTGGGGATTATCCTTAAAAGAAGTTAATTCATGTTAAAAACTCAGGTCACAATTTATTTTCCAGGTCCCATAGAAGATATTTTATTCTTTTTCTAAAAAATATAATGAAAATAGAGTATTACAATGGTTACATGAAATGCAGGCCACAAGCAAAAGCGGTAAATTGTCTTACACTCTAATCCCCTTGCTGTACAACTGTTTGCACTGTGTGCTCACAATAAACTCAGATTTGCTGATAATTTTGCTTGAAATAATGAGCACCCCAAATAGAGATGGCGACACAGCACAAAACAACTAGGACAGCTGCAATGATTCCTGCAGTGCTGATCCCACATGAGAGTGAGATTGTGGCTAACAGAGCCCCAGCTAGCAATTTGGGTTCAGAACATGTTGTTCCTTCGGAGTCTTCAATTTTATCCAGATGCTGCCTGTACCAGGTGATGAAACCAATATTGGAACAGGTGCATTCCAAGGGGTTGTAGCTCAGATTGATTACACTGCGGCCAGGCAGGGATTCTAGCTGGTCACGTGGTATAATCTGGATCCTGTTGTAGGCAAAGTTGAGGTAGATGCTCTTGAGTTTTGAAAATACACCTGTGCTAAGTGCAGTAAACTTGTTGTGGCTCAAATCAACGTGCCGTAACTTCCCAAGGCTGTGGAAGGCTTGGTTATTCACTGCTGTCAGTTCACAGGATGATAAAATTAGCACCTCTAAATTGGATAGCTGTTGAAACACTTTGTCGTCGGCCATGATCCCTGACTCGAAAGTGTTTTGACTAAGGTCCAAGAGCACGAGTTTTTCCAGGCCCTGAAAGAGATGTTGAATGCTGGTATTAATGAAGGAAGAGGAAAGGTTCAGGACTTGCAAGAGATGAAGATTCTGGAAGGGCCCCTGTGAAGTGCCAATGTGAAGATGAGTGAAAGCTATGTCCAGCAACTCCAGGCTTGTACCCTCCTTGAAAAACATATCTTGGATATGGAGCTTTGTGTTGTGACTCAAATTTAGGTACTGAAGGCTACTCAAGCCACTTAGTGCTTTGCTGCAGCAGTCGAGGCTTTCAACATGACTGTGACTTAAATCAAGATGCCGGAGCTCTGCCAGACCTTCCAAACAGCCAGAGCCCAGCTGCAGTGCCTGCAGGTTCCCTTTGATTTGGAGATGGGTGAGGGATGGGAAGGTGGCAGAGCTGATGTTGCAGAGGTGCTGGAAGGAGTTGATGTTGAGAACTAACTCCCTGAGTGAACTCATCCCACTGATTCCAGGTGGTAAAGCACTGATGTGGGTGTGGGTTAGGTCCAACTTTCGGAGCCTTGTCATACAGTGAAACGTGGCAGCATTTAGGTTTTCGAAATGCTGTAGTTGCAGGTAGAGATCCTTGACAGAAATGTTGCAAAGGCCTTCTAAAACACCTGGAGTTATGTCAGGCTTCTTCTCCACATCACTGAATGTTCCTAGCCAAAGGGTCTGGGTAGTGGAGTTCCGTATTCCTGCAAGGATCCCAGGGATGTCAGCACAGCCCCCGAAGTCCAAGCTGTAGAAGTGGGATTGGAGTGCTCCAGGTTCAATGTGTAAAATGTCATTGCCTTTAAATATTAGAGTCATATTACTGGTCTTCTGCAAAATGCTGACATCTTCTGCTGTGATTACTCTTATATGGTTCATTTGAAAGTCAAGATGTTTGAGGTTTTTAGTTGGAAAGTTGGGAGGAAGCTGCAGTGAAGAGATGTGGTTGCTGCCCAAGATGAGGGTGTCCAACCTGTCCAGATTTGTCATTGGAATAAAGGATATCATGCTTATTCCTGTCTGTGTCAATACAAGCTCCCTCAGGGACTGAGGACCAGCAAATGCTGTGTCAGATAGGAACATGAGTAGATTTCCAGTCAGCACAATGGTCTGCAACCGCCTGTTGTTGTGAAAGGCATTTTCATACACCCAGTTGATCTGACACCTTGAAAGGGCAATAGAAACCAGCATTACTGGCTGTACTGTAAAGCCCTCACTTAATAAGTGATATCTTAGGCTGCATAACATGTGTGTAAAGTCATGACCAATTGTCTGCAGTGGGATACAAGTGTCCTTCCTTTTCAGTGATGCTTGCCTGGTATTTGTAAGCTCCCATTTAAGTGTAGCAACCTAAGTAGGAATCTGCACTGCAGTGTAATGAAATGAAAATCTCTTGTTGGTAGAAAATGTTGGGCACTTACAAAGACCAAACTTGTCTTTCCCTGGACTTTAGGGAAGAATGTTTTTAGAAAAAGTACACGCACACACACACACTCAAAAAGGCAACAACAACAAAACCAAAACAAACAAACAAACAAAAAACAAAACCCAAAACACCTGTTCTAATGACTCTACTGGTATTGGCAACAGTATATATGGAAAATACACATTTCACCACTGCCTAGCAGATGACTGTTACTGAAGGAGAAGCCTGGATGTTGCTCAAGAAGATCAATCTGCTTAGCAAAATAATTCAGCAGTCACCTGTAAGTGCAGCTGGTAGCTTCCCCGTGAAGGCAGGGGAGCTGCTGTTGGCAGAAGCTGCCAGCTAAGGGGAAGAGTGGGGGAGCGGAGGCTGACCAAGGTGATGCGTAGAAGTGAGAATGCTCTCCCATACCTCGTCAGGTCCAAGTAGAGTAGAGATTCCAGCCCAGAGAAGGTTGAGTTCTGGAGGGATGGGAGCATGTTGAAGCTGAAGTCAAGGATTTCTGTTGTGACAGGTAGACTTCCAGGAATCTCCCTCAGTCCTAAACCTTCACAGCTATAGCTTTTATTCACTGTGATCTGAGGAGAACATTACAGTGGAAATCCAAGAGGTATGTACTGTTAATGTAAACTGGAAACTACCCCACTTTAAAAAATAAACAAATCTGAATTTAAAAATGTGGCAGTAGGACCCTGTAAAATACCAGCACGGGCTTGAAATACACAAGAACTAGCATTCTGTGGAGTGAGCTTTCAAAACGAGTACCTCGCACCTTGTTCTAATTCAAAGTGTCT